ATGATGGATTAAAAAATGGTGTTTTAGAGACTGTATCAGTGACTGAAAAGTTAGTTATCATAAGACCTAGGAATATACTCTTAGATTTATAGTTAAGAGAAATATAAGAATATAGCCAATCAAAAATTGCATTTTATAACTTTATTACTTATAACAGCCCCAAAGTAGAGACAAGTTATGTCTCTATAAACTTACAAATGTAGACAAAATGTAGTATATGTATATAATAAAATATTCAGTCATAAGGGGCTGTACCAGCACTTAAGAATGTTGTCCCTATTATAGGCTAAATGTAGGTAATATATTGTATGATTTAATTTATGTTCAACGTCTAGAATCAGAGCATTCTTAGATACAGAAAGTAGATTACTGGTACTGGTTTCCAGAGGTTGGGGACTGGAAATAGAGAGTAATTGCTAATATATATGAGATTTCTTTTTGGGATTAAATTATTATAGAACTGGATAGTAGTGGTAATGTACAGCTTCATTCCATTTAATATACTACACCCATTTAATTATATACTTTAAAGAATGAATTTTTGATATGTGAAGTATATCTCAATTTAAAAGTATTTATGAGCACAGGAAGGAACTTCCTGAACAGAGTCCCAGGGTCACAACAAATTGGAGAGAGACTCGACAAATGGGACTACCTTAAAATAAAAAGCTTCTGCACAGCTAAATCTATTGCAACCAAGCTAGAAAGACAACCAACTAATTGGGAAAAAATATTTACCAGAAATATATCAGACAAGGGGTTAACATCCAGTATATACAGGGAACTCAAGAAACTAATCCCTCCCAAACCTAACAAACCTAACAAACTAAATGGGCAAGAGAACTAAAGAGGGACTTCTCAGATGAAGAAATAAAAATGGCAAAGAAACACATGAGGAAATGTTCGCCATCCCTGGTGATGAAGGAAATGCAAATAAAGAAAACCCTGAGATACCACCTTACCCCAGTCAGAATGTCCCACATCCACAAGTCAGCCAGCGACAAATGCTGGAAGGGATGTGGAGAAAGAGGAACCCTATTACACTGCTGGTGGGAATGTACACTTATATAACCACTTTGGAAAGCAGTCTGGAGGGTCCTCAGAAAGCTAAAGATTGACCTCCTTTAGGACCCAATCATACCACTTCTAGGCATCTACCCTGAACAACAGGAACCAATATACAAGGACACATGCACCTCCATGTTTATTGCAGCACTGTTCACAATAGCTAGGATATGGAAACAACCCAGATGCCCCACCACAGATGAATGGATCCAAAAATTGTGGTATCTATACACAATGGGATATTATGCAGCCATTAGAAATGAGAAACTAATGGCATTTTCAGGGAAATGGATGGAGCTAGAAGAAATCATGTTGAGCGAGATAAGCCAAGAGCAAAGAGACAAACGGTACATGGTCTCCCTGATAAGTGGATGTTAAATCCAAAATGTTAGGTGATACGACAAAATTAACAGGACTTAAGAAACAAAGAACTTCCACTCATCTGGTCGAACCACTACTAAATAACCCCATGCTGCTGATCACATGTATGGTATATTTGTGTACACCATTATATGTTATAGATCGTGATAGACAATTTGCTCGAGAAAAGTTAGAATGAGCTTGTGACTTTAAAGGAGCATCGTTATTCCACAATACTGTGAAATTTGGGAAATTATGTAATCACTTAATCACAATAAAAAACACCAAAAAAAGTATTTATGAGAGGGAATGGAAAGATTATGCTGTTGGTAAAAACAAACAAACAAGCCCTTCAAAGGATATGGTGGCTCAAACCTAAAATACAAGCAACTCAGGAGGCTGAGATCTGGGAAATTTGGTTTGAAGTCAGCTTAGGCAGACAAATCTTCAAGAATATTTTAACCAACAAAAAGCTTCACTTCTGGTGAAAGTGTGGGCCTATGAGTGGAAGTAGATGAGCAAGTGCACAAGGGCCAGAGCTCCAAGTACTTAGACACACACACACACACACACACACACACACACACACACACACGTGTGTGTGTGTGTGTGTGTGTGTGTGTTGCCTACCAAACTTATTTTGAGTCTTCCTAGTCCTAGTATGTATTTATAAAGCCACTTTTCCCTTTTAAATATAAATTCAGGCATACAGTAAATTTTGTTCAACAATATATACTGACCATCTTTCTCTGATATTATGATGCTCTCTATTGTGACCATATGCTACTAATGAGTGTTTGACTATTTTTTAGGTGTTTTTTTTGTATTGAAGAAATGCTCAGAGGCCACTGTAGATACACTTCCTAAATTTGTGCTTATGTAGGACAATTTCCTAGTTGAGAATATCACTTATTTTTAGCTTTTTGGATAAATATAAATTGTATCCAAGTTTAAAATAGTGTATATTATAAGATTAAAAGGTACCAATTGTGTATGTGGAGAAACTATCCTTCAGTCATTTGGGAACAAATATTACTAAAATTTTATGTTTTCTTCAAGTATTTTATGATGTACAAATAAAAACATGTATATTTAAAATTCCAGCATAATTGTTCTATATTTTGTCTTTGAAAGCTATTGATCCAAAGAAAGGTTGCTCTAACAGTGAATGATATTATCTCCATATTAAGCATTGAGCTTTTTTTTTTGTATGTGAAAAGTTAAGAATTTTTCAGATTCTTTTATCTGGTCTGAATTTCAAATGTATGATTTGATATAGTTGCAACATCATTAGGGCCTTGATATCTTCAGTTTTGTTGATGTTTTGGTGGTTTCTAGTTGCAATTTAGAGCATTTAATGAAAATACTCTTAGTTCTGATGCAGAATGAGTTAGAGGCCTAGGAAGATAGCATCTCAAAGAATTGATTGGGAGGCAGGAGCAAACCCAAGAGTAAAAATGGCTATCTCCTAGGATTGAAGAAGTGAGGATTTAAAGGAGCTTCTTGGAAGTCACAAACTCAACCTGGTTTAGAAAAGAATGAGAACAATTTAACTGGCTCATATGAATGAAGAGGTCTGAATTTGATTCAATGCTTGCTTCAATGATATCTTCAAGTATATGTCTACCTTGAATCTGCTTTTTTAAAATTAATTTTATGCTTAGTCAGGTGTTCTTTCAGTTTAGGCATTAGACAATTTGTCTGAGTTAGAATTTAAGTCTGCCAAGTTTTGCTTTCATTCAGATATACCTCTTCCTAATATTTCATTAAGTCTTAACAGTATTGACCTGACTGTGGTCACAAAGGATGGAATGCTTTGGTTGGGTAAGTCTTAGTCTTAGAACAGTGTGATGTGACAGAACTGGCAGGATAGGATGATTTGATCTGCTAGGTTCAGGTTCTGGCAAGGCCTTTGCTTCTTGAGGTGTCAACTTTATATTTGTAGAGTTTCATCACCTACATTAATATTTGACTGAATAACAGGGAGGTATTTATATAACATGAATCAGGAGTGTTGGGTGCTTAGAATTCTGCCTACCACAGTAAGATTCTTTTTTTGGAATATTTGTATGTAAATAGTTGTGCAAAGGAATTGTCATTCACCAAAGCAATTTATGAATACAGTGCATCTTGATCACTGTCACCCCTTTCAACATTTTTACCCACCCTCCCAACCTACCCCTTCCCTCACTTGTCTTAATTTTAGTGTATGTATGTATGTATGTATGTATTTATTTATTTTGCCTTTTAACAAAGGGGGGTCAAACTTTTTACATAAAGATCCAGAATCACAACAAATGTAAGAAAGATTGGATTAAGTAGGATTGTATCAAACTAAATAGAAAACCCACAGAATGGGAGAATTTTACCAGTTATACATCAGACAAGGGCCTACCATCCAAAATATACTTAACCCCCCCAAAAATAAACTCAAAGAAACAGCAATCCAATTAATAGAAGTGTTTACTGACTTCTCAGAAGGGAAAAAGAATGGCCAATAGATACATGAAGAAATGTTCAATATCTCTGGCCATAAAGGAATGCAAATCAAAACAACATTGAGATTTTATCTCACCCCAGTTAGAATGATCAGTATCAAGAAAGCTAAGAATAACAAATGCTGGCATGGATGTAGCCAAAGGTAACCCTGTTACACTGTTGGTGGGAATGTAAACTTGTTCAATCACTCTGAAAAGCAGTATGAAGGTTCCTCAAAAGACTAAACATAGAGCTTCCCTATGACCCAGTAATCCCATTCCTGGGCATTTGTCCAGTAGAGCACAGTAAGATTCTTGATGTATGAATTTTATTTCTGTAAAGCAAGTGATTGGCATGTGTAACTGGGGAGATGGAAAAAGATATACCCTGATGAGCAGGGATGATATTTGGAATAATGATGACAAACTGAGTTTTAGTAAAGGTTACATGTGGAAGTTGGATCTCAAGTGTTGATTTATTTAACTCTGTGTGCCTACTTAAGTCTTTGTGTAGCCCCAGGGATATATCTGTTTCCTTCTGAAAACTGTTGCATCTGTGGTCACAGAGACACCTTGATGCTTGGCAAATAGGTAAATCATAGCAACAAATAGAGCTGACAGCTAGAGGGATGGGGTTGGAAGGGTTACAACAACAAAACCCCTGATGCCAAAGCATTGCCTCTCTTTTCTTCTGTCCTCAGGCAGGCTTCCCTCCTCCCCCCACCCCCCGAAACAATATTCTATTTCCACTCTAGGGAATAAAGAAATCTGAAGTCACAGCTTGCTCTTATCCTTACAGCTGTAGCGGTTGCCTAGTAACCAGATTTCCCCTCTCCTTGCCTTGTTGCCAAGGAGAGGGGAGAAAGGTAGAGAGAGGAGCGCACTTCTGAACCTCTTAAAAGCTATTGTCCTTCCCACTCCACATAGGACTTATTGCTTTGGGGAGTTGGGTGGACTGCTAAGGCTGGTAGTTTAGGTTCCTTAAACAGGGAGCCTGGTTCTTTTGCTCCAGGCAGCTAGGAGCAAGACTACTCATGGGCACATCTCCTTATGGAAGGAACCATGACAATCCCCCCTTTTCATTTTGGCCTGACCTAGGACAAACAGAGAATGTGCAGATGCTCTTGCGCCTTGGAGCAGACCCCACTATTCTCAATCGACAGTCTCGGTCTCCTGTGGATGTCCTGAAGAGGAATAAGAACTTCAAAGCCATTGAGAAAATCAACAGTCACTTGGAAAAGCTGGCTACATGTTCTAAAGACCTAACAGGTATAGCTACAGTTGTTTTGTTTTTTTTTGTGTTTTTTTTTTTTGTGGGTGGTTGGGATAAAATTGGTTCTGTGATACTAGATACAAATTAGGTTATCTCTTCTTGATATACACAATTGGAAGTGAGACTCCTTGTTTTCCAGTGTTCAGAAACTTAACTTTTTTAAAAAAAGGCAGAGACAACTTTTACTTAGAGATATTCTGGGAACATTTCCCATCCTACCTCTGGAGAGTATGGATGATTTCTCCATGCATGCATAGAACAGAAAAGTCAGACATAATAGGAAATGACAAAAACCAAGGCTGCTACTCAGAAATAATTACTGTTGACAATTTGAAATACTTTGTTCTCCATTTCTTGATTTGATTGCTATGTTAGATAAAACATTTAGGTGTTAGTCCTATTTGTTGGGATTTGTCTTGTAATATCACCAGTATCTTCTACATCCTATTCCTTAACTCTTTAAGTTTTTCATGCTTCATCTATTGACCAATTCTAAAAATTGAAAACCAGTGGGTAGCATTTTCATGATAGTATGATATACATATAAACATTAATCTTAAAAATTTAAATTGTTATTATTATAAAGTGATATACAGAGGGGGTTACAGTTACATAAGTCATGTATTGAGTACGTTTCTTTTTGGACAAGGTTACCTTTTCCCTTGCTCTCTCTCAGTTTTCCCCTCCTGTCCCCACCACATGGCTGGACTTATAAAAATGAATTACTGAATGTCCTGAAACTTTTACTTTTAAAATGTAATGCCCTCTAATAATTGTAATTTAATGAAACATGGATGCATTTCTATGGTTCTTGTTTTTCTTGCCCTTATATATGACTCATGTGGCTCTTGTGATCTGCATAGATTTTTTTTCTTGATCTACTAGAGAACCTACTCAAATTAACCTATTCCTCCTCATGGAAGAGGTATAGATAATATAGTTAAGGATTTTTTGAAAATATCTTTATTTTATTCCCACATTGGATCATTTGTTTGAATATAGGCATTGAATTTTATTTATAGCAAGTTACACTTTCCCTTTGCATTTTACCATCTTTGAAATTAGAATATGTTTTACAATAGTAATATGTCAGTTTAATTGCAACCTTTACTGTCTGTAATATTATGTTCTATAGCTCATATATCTTTAGATTCATACACTATATATAACCTTGTCACTTTTACATTTTACATTACATTTTACATTTATAAAGTATACTATAATTAACCATGTCACTCAAGACTGTGAAAAACTCTTTAGTTGCTACTGATTAGATGTCTGATGTCCTTCTCATATCTGCCTCCTCTGTAGTGGTCCCTATTCTTGAGTTCTGAAATTTCCTTGGGAAGAGGAATCAAGATGTGGTTCTTCATTCATTTTTCTAGCTCAGTACTTGCCTGGTCCCTTTGAATCTCTTTCTTATCTCAGAGAAAATATTTTTAGTTGTTTTATTCTTTTCTATTATTTCTTTTCTCATTTTTCAGTAGCATTAAGTGGATGAAATTATTGAATTGATAATATATCCCTTTGTTTTATATTTTTCATTTATAATTTAGTTTATGTATTGCTACATTTTTAAATCTAGAAAAATCATGGTTTTATTTTCTAAGAACTATTTTTTCTGATTGCTTCTTGTAGCTCCTTCCTTCCTTCCTTCCTTCCTTCCTTCCTTCCTTCCTTCCTTCCTTCCTTCCTTCTTTCTTCTCTCCCTCCCTGCCTTCCTCCTCCCTCTTTCTTTCTTTCTTTCTTTTTTTCTCTCTCTTCCCCCTCTCTTTTTTGTCTTTCAGATTGAACTCAGGGTTTGGTATTTGCTAAGCAAGCACTCTACCACTTGAGCTATGTCCTGAGCCTAACATCTTATTCTTGTTTTGCATTTGTCCCAGCTTTTAAAATTGCATTTAAGAATATTATTACCTGTTTGAAGAATATTTTCTTCCTGAATCATGCATGTTAGTTTCAGGGATACTTGTTTTTTTTTTCTTGCTTCTCTTTTGTGCTTTTCCTTAATCTTCTGTCTTTGGTCTGATAATATTTATGAATGAAGGACTAATTGATCAAAGTGTATGAAATCATTATTGTTCATATCTTGTAGATATTTAAATTTGTTTCACCAGAAACACTCCCTCCCATGAATGGGTAGGTGAAAACAGTCTGCAAGGGATGTGTGTTGGGAACAGGAGACAGTTTGACATGAATGATTACATTTCTCTACTTGTGTTTTATTTTTTACCTATTTGCTTTAAATATTTTGTGTTTTATATCTGGCCATGATAGTGAGGAGAGAGAAGTCAATTTGTAGAGGTTTTTTTGATAGATGTTCAAGTTGTGATATACCAATGTTTTGTTTTTTAAAGAATTCATATTTTAATGAATTGTGATTTTATTATTTTTTTTGCTGAGGTAGGGTAAATAACAAACCACTGTAAAATGCCTTTTCTGTTTCCACAATTTGAGAAATTTAAAATAACTAAACATGTTACTTTGTTCATGAGTTTCTAGGTTTGAAAATAACAGTAACAAAAGGGATCACTAGTTAGTAGTAGAAAATCCTAATTTATTTTCAAGATTATCTTTTATTCAGATTTTATGTTTAGTATCACAGTTTTTAAACTGTATCCTTTGTTTAGTTTTTAAAAGTTTAATTGTTTGAATATCTGCTAATCCCAAACATACTCCATATAAGACAAGTTTTGTTTTTGTCTGTCCTTCCTTCCTTCCTTGAAGTCCTTTCTTCTTTCCCTCCTTCCCTCCTTTCCTTCCTTCCTTCCTTTCCTTCTTCCTTCCTTCCCTCCCTCACTCCTTCCTTCCTTCCCTTCCTCACTTCTTTCCTTCCTTCCTTCCTTCCTTCCTTCCTTCTTTTCTTTCTTTCTTTCTTTCTTTCTTACGTTCTTTCTTTCATTCTTTCTCTCTTTCCTTCCTTCCCTCCCCTTCCTTCTTTCCTTCCTTTGTTTCTTTCTTTCTTTAGTTCTTTCTTTCCTTCCTTCCCTCCCCTTCCTTCTTTCCTTCCTTCCTTCCTTTTTCTTTCTATCTCTCCTTCCTTCCTTCTCTCCCTTTCCTTCTTTCCTTCCTTCCTTCCCTCCCTCCCTCCCTTCCTTCCTTCCTTTCTTTCTTTTCTTTCTCTCTCCTTCCTTCCTTCCCCTTCCTTCTTTGCTTCCTTCCTTCCCTCCCCTTCCTTCCTTCTTCTTTCCTTCCTTCCTTCTTTCCTTCCTTCCTTCCTTTCTTTTTCTCTCTCCTTCCTTCCTTCCTTCCTTTTCTCTCTCTCTCCTTCCTTCCTTTTCTTCCTTCCTTCCTTCCTTTCTTTCTTTCCCTGATACCCAGGCCTTGCCAGGCAAAGCAAGTGCTCTTCTACTGAGCTATCCCTCCAGCCCTCAAAAGGGGTTCTTTTTATTTTTAAAAATTTTATTGTGAAAATACCGTACAGAGGGGTTACAATTACATGGGCAAGGTAATGAGTACATTTCTTATCAAGCATTGTTGCCTCCTCCTTTGTTTCCCCTTCCCATCCCTTCCCATCCTCCCTCCCCCCGCCAAAGTTGTAAAGTTTGTTTTTTGACATAATGTCTTGTACATCTCATTGTTGCAATAGGTCCACCTGTATCGCTATTTAAACAATTTGTTTTTTTCCCTTCCTCTCCACAAAGTATACCAACATCAAATACAGTGAAAACAGGTTATATTGTGGGGGAGGGACATACAAAGCAACAAAGAAATAATCTTATAAATATGTTAGAAAAAATCTTGGTTCTTGATCTTCCACTTTCCCTTCTTTCCCAGTTAAATCATTAGTCTTGGTTTGGAGCTAAGAGAAGACTCAATAGAATTTCAGCTTGCCCCTTTAGAATTCAACTATACTTGCTTGGCAGAAAACTGTATACAAAAGAAATGTCTAACATTCCAGGCTAGCTGGAACATCACCAGGTAGGCTGGGGTAATGTGTAGGCAATCAAGCCCAAATCCTCCATTACTCAGTGACATTCTTATTGTATGTTTGATTACGTGAAAGTTTTCCAAAGCATTGACCATGAAGATTTTCTTGCCATATTAAAGGAATATTGGAAGACTGTATGGGAACACGAAGTTAAAAGTGAAGAAAACTGATAAATCCAAACAATGATGACTAGTAATTTGGAGTCTTCTTGTATTTTTCTTAAGTTCTCCTAGTGGTAGAACCCCTATTGAAGTCAATCTTGGAGTGTGATTTCTGAGTGTGATTATGTACCAAATATCAGTGCTCCCTTATAAGTTTGTGTGACTGCATAGGGTTGTAAATGTACATTTTGTGTGTAAGTTTTGCCCAATGCACAAATCTTTCTAGATCAGCTCTCTGCCATATAATTTTTTTTGGGGGGGGTCTGGTTGTGGGGCCTGAACTCTGGGCCTGGGTGCTGTCCCTCAGCTCTTCAGCTCAAGGCTAGCGCTCTACCACTTGAGCCACAGTGCCACTTCCAGCTTTTTTCCTTTTTTCTCATGTGGTGCTGGGGAATTGAACCTAGGGCCTCATGCGTGCAAGGCAAGCGCTCTACCACTGAACCACGTTCCCAGCCCCTACCATATAATTTTCTGATGGAAATGTTTGAACGTGCCTTGTCTGATGTGATAGTCATTAATCACATGCAGCACAGTGCATCTGAAGCATCTGGTGCATCTGAAGAACTGAAAATTTAATTTAATTTAATTAGCTTTTATGTAAATCACCTACTGGCCACCATATTTGTCAGTGTAGTTTTAGACTTTAGTCCCCTTAGATGGTGGGAGAGTCAAAGAAAAGGGCCTTGGGCAATGAGAATGAAGATGGATTACTTTGTTTTATAGGACTTAATCTGTTGTGTACCCTCAGAGGACAGAAAGAGGCCTCTTCTTTGGGAGGAGCTGCTGCTAAAATGTTTGTACCTTCATTCTTGAGTAGTCTGACTGACTTAATGACTATGGTCCCGAGTACAGCACCATTAGGACATGAGTGTTTTATACTCAGACAATTTATTCATTTTTTCTTCTTTCTGAAGTTCTCTGTACTCTGCTGATCTCTTTAGTTAGTGATGCTTATGACATCTGGATGGGAACAAAAGGCTTAAGAAATAAATATTCTTTAGGCAGAGTTTTGCTATTCTCTAAACAGGAACTTTCTCAATATTGACATGGACACATCTATTGGGAGCCTATTAAGATTCGGATTTTGATTCAGAAGATTTAGAGCAAACTCAGACTCACTTATTGCCAAAGTGGTGACCACTTTGAATAGCAAAGTTTCATCTTAAAAAATAGTCAAGATTACAGAATTATCTTTTCCTGCCTTTTGATGGCCACCACCAGAGGGCAACATGTTCATTTTCTCTAGTAGCTGTTCCTGCTCAGCTCTTTCTTTAGGACCAAGAACAAGATTGGATGGAGCTTTTGTCTCACTGCGGCTTGCATTGTCTCTGGTTCACTAGTGCTTTGCCTTTTCAAGTGAGTATAGATCCAAGCCACTGAAACAGAGCTAGATGTTTAAAGTTCTTTTTAAGAGAATGTATGTAATGTAGGAAATAGAATACTGACTTTCAACAAATCTACCTTCCCGGAAAATAATTAATGCATTTATGAATTGGTCATTAGTCTTTTTATATTTCAAGCATTTATAGTTAACCATTTTTATTTTATAAAAATTAGATTAATATGTTACTTTAGCCTGATGAAATTGTGTGCAATAAAACTACTAGTTTTGCATTTTGTACTTTGAAAGAAAGATTTTGGGCAAAAATGTAATCTTTTTAAGATTTATTTTTTCTAATACTTTTGAGCATTGTAGCAACATCAGGAGAGCCTTTTCAATTTTAATTTCAAATCTACTTATGTATATTTTCTTAATATGATTATTATAGAAACATTTAAAAACAATTTATGTAACAAAATTATTGTTTTTTTTTCCTCACCTTTAACTTCACATGTGCCAACAGGTTTTTTTTTGTTTATTTTATGTATTTATTTATTTTGTCGGCTGTGGGGCTTGAACTCTGGGCCTGGGCGCTGTCCCTGAGCGCATCAGCTCAAGGTGAGCGTTCTACCACTTGAGCCACAGTGCCACTTCCGGTTTTCTAGTGGTTTATTGGAAATAAGAGTCTGGTGGACTTTCCTGCCTGGGCTAGCTTTGAACCGTGATCCTCAGATCTCAGCCTCCTGAGTAGCTAGGATTACAGGCGTGAGCCATCCACGTCCAGCTGTATTTTTTGTTTTTTGTCGGTTGAGGGGTTTGAACTCTGGGTCTGGGAGCTGTCCCCCAGCTCTTCAACTCAAGGCTAGCACTCTACCACTTGAGCCACAGTGCCACTTCCTAAATAGCAAAATTATTATAATTATACTTTTTACATTATAGTTTTATACATTCTAAAATTTCATTGTTTAGTTAATAACCATCTTTAAAAATATCTGTTATTATAGTTTATAAGAAACTTGGTATCATGATGTTTTATCTATTAATATTGTGGGAAATTTAGGAAAAACCCCCAGAAAACTTAAGAGTAACAAACAAGTTACCCAAAGCTTTCCAAGGACATTTGTCATATTTAGAACTTCTCTTACATGAATTTTTATATTGTTGATAACATTCTCTGATTTATTACCCTAATGGCTAGAGTTTTCTCTAAGTTACAATTTCCTCTTAACTAAATCATCTAATTATGTACTTATTATACAGCTACAATTTTATTGTTTCTGTTGTCAAGCTAAGTACATTTCTGTTCAATTTTATGTGACTTTTATACTAAACTAATTTTCTTTGGGGAGTGAGATGATCTTTCTGAACAGCTTTTTAATAGCATGGTACAAGGAGGTGAGCAGCAAGTTTTCATCTACTTGATAATGAAGGAAGTTCTCCTTTTACAAAATGTTCTTTTTATTCTTTCAGTTATTGTTTTCTGTGTCTTCAAAGGTATTTTAGGATGAAGGTGGAGGCAAGACACAGTAATGCTAGCCAGACATTGTTATGTCAATTACATTTTCTATTTCAGAGTAGCCTTCCAGGTGAAGATAATGTGAGTTTGCCCTTGGAAAGTGGTGATTGTGTGTGTGTGTGTGTGTGTGTGCGCGTGCACATGCGTGCTCATGTGCGTCAGTCCTGGGGTTTGAAGTCAGAGCTTGGGCACTGTCCCTAAGCTTTTGTGCTCAAGGCTGGTGCTCTGCCACTAGAGCTACAATTACAGTTTTGGCTTTTTTGATTGTTAATTGGATATGAGTCTCACAGACTTTCCTGCCTGAGCTGGCTTTCAACCATGATCCTCAGAGCTCAGCTTTTATCTTCTATGAAATGTGGTACTGTAGTAGACCCCCATTTTTCTGCCTACCACCAGAAACTCTTGACTGGTTAGTTTGCTCTAGAAGTGTTTGCCCTAAAAGTTTGTGTATGAATGTTTTTGATGGTCTAGAAATATGATACAGATGTGTATCAGATAATGTTGGAACTTTGCTGGACCCCTTATTTCTCTTTATTACTATCAAAAGCCATCACCTAAGACATTTTCTCTTCTCATTGAGTGTTGGACTTACAGAGCCTGTGTTACTCATATTTCTTCTAGTGAGAAGTGCCCTGGATACTGATAGATCTTAGAATACGAAAGTTCATTTCACTTATTTATCTTGCTTTGCAAGGGGACAGCTCTGAGGTATGACTCATACTCCAGAACTTTTTTGTGGATTTAGGCTGGAGCCACCCTCTTCGAGACTGCCTGAGCTCACATCCTCACTTGGCCTCCTCCTCCTCTTTTTTTTAAAATTCTGTTTCTCTTAACTTCTTGCTTGTTTTCAACTCCTTAATAAACTACTTGTACATAGCTCCTTGACTCAGGGTCTGCTGTTGGGAAGCTTGTTTGAAGAAGGGTATTTTCAATTTTTTTCTTCCATTTCAAATAGTTTGTCTTTTAATGTGTTTCTACTGAGGTAGAACTTGACATTGAACATTAATTCATCTCTTTACAGTCATGAAAAGATAGTACTTCTGAGGTGAGCCAGGTTCAGTTTTGGTCCCCTATCTGTCCAGTAAGATCTGCTTAAACTAAGTGCATTTGGGGCTGGGAAGGTGGCTCAGTGGTAGAGCGCTTGCCTTGCATGCCTGAGGCCCTGGGTTAGATTCCTCAGCACCACATAAGCAAAAAGAAAAAAAGCCGGAAGTGGCTCTGTGGCTCAGGTGGTAGACCACTAGCCTTAGAGCTGAGGGATAGTGCCCAGGCCCAGAGTTCAGGCCCCACGACCGGACCCCCCCCCCAAAAAAAAAAAACAAACTAAGTGCTTTTGGAGAATATAATCTGTGTTTAATTACCTTGAACCAAAAGGATATTGTCTTACTTTTCTTGGCTGAAGAGATTACTCCTTATTTAACTGCTAATAAAGCATACAGATTTGGGTGTCTGGCATATAGTTGGATGCTGCCATTGCACTAAGGTACATTTCTGCACTTACTGTCCTGAATTATTGTATTGGCTATTTAAGCAAATTATCCCAAAAGCTTAATGCCTTAAATAAAAAAGTATTTAGCTCTTGATCCTGTACATGAGAGATTTAGTTTGGGTTGTTCTTAAAGTCTCAATTGAATTTTTTTAATGTCTAAAGACTGCTGATCTTGGCTGGACTCTAATATCTCTGAGACCTCTGGACAACTGGGTTGGTTACTCTTTATTCTATGTTGTCTTATATCCAAGCAGGCTAGATGGGGGATAGCTGTTCTCAGGGCAGAGGCCAGGGTCTCAAAAGAACAATAGAAATAACTTCCAAAGCTTCTTTAGCCCTAAACTCAGAACAGACATAAAAGTTACATCTCCTGCAGTTTGTTGGCCATGCCAAATCATGTAGCCAGGTCAGAACTAAAGGAGAGTGAGCGGGAAAATAGTCCCTACTTCTTGATGGAAGGAGTTGCAAAGTCATGTTGCAAAGGATATGGACAGTTGGGGAGAGGAGGATTGTATTTGTTTAATATCCCACAGCAGTAATCTGTATTCAGAAGCATCACCTGGTGGTATTTTTCAGGACTCAGAAATGGTGATGGATCTATTACTGATGGTGACATTTTCCGGAAGACTTCTGAGCAGCTGGTGCAGTGCATGAACTCAGGAAACTGGTTATTGCATAACAATTTTCTGAAGGAAGAAGTAGTTCAGAGGTTCTTACACCTTCTTTCTTCTCTGCAAGGTATTTTTCTTCACAACTTTCAGCTGTGTTAAAGATGATTTATGCTAATTAAAAACATTCTACTAGTAGGGCTGAGTATGGTGGTTCATGCTCATCATCCCAGCTCTTTGGAGGTAGAGACTAGGAGGATGCTCATTTGAGGTTCATATAGGCCAAAAGTCAGAGAGATTTCATCTTAACAGACAAGCCAGGTAAGATGGCATGTGCATGTCTTCTTAGCTATATGCAGAGTTTAAGTAGAAGGATCTTGGTTTGAAGTTGTCTCAGACCAAAACACAAGAACCTATTAAAAAATAACTAAAGTAATAAAAAGGGATAAGGCATGGCTCAAGAAGTAGACTGTTTAGCATGTACAGTGTCCCAAGTTCAAACCCCAGTACTTCCCTAAACCAAAACAACCAAAATAAACTTTTTGCCTAAGGGCTATAGCTCAGTGGTTAAACAGATGCTTAATATGCCTGAGGTCTGCATTTGATCTCCCCAGAACCACAAAACAAAAACTTTTACAATATCTTTATTAATTTATACAAATGAAAGTAATGTAGATATATGTAAAATACTTAAACAACACAGAAAGTTCTTCAGTGAAAAGTGATTTTAGGTTGTTATCAGATCTTTTTTTTTTTTTTTTTTGTCGGTCGTGGGGCTTGAGCTCTGGGCCTCGGAGCTATCCCTCAGCTCTTCAGCTCAAGGTGAGCGCTCTACCAGTTGAACCACAGCGCCACTTCCGGCTTTTTCTGCGTATTTGGTGCTGAGGAATTGAACCCAGGGCCTCATGTATGCAAGGCAAGCACTCTACCACTGAGCCATCTTCCCAGCCCCAGATCATAATGTTTTGAGGATTGAAGTTTTGCATTTGAGTTTTGGCTCTACCATTTGCTTAATCTGTGACCTTGGGCTAGTTACATCCTAAACTTTAGTCTTGCCATCTTTGCCTCATCTAGGGACCAATCTCAGGAAGGTATGGAAGTCTAGCACTTAGTCTGTGTATAATACTCATTAACTGTTAGGACAAATGGAGACAAATTAGGTTGTTATGATTGGCTTTTCTTTTTTGTGTAGGAGTATGTCAAAGATAAATGGCCCACTCAAGACTCTCTTGCATGAGATTTATTAGATGTAGACATTCTGTACAAACTACTTCTAGGGAGCCTTTGAGTATTTTTAAAAAATTAGCATCAATTAGTTGTATAGGAGCATACAACGCTTCTTGATCAGAATCACCCCTTTTATCAGTATCTCTTTTCCCCACTTTCTAAACTAATCTCAGCAAACTTAATTGTTCTCTTTTCATATATGCACATTAAGCATTTTGACCATATTTACCTTATTTCATCATCTCTGTTTACCTGTTCCCATAACTAGTTCCTCAGACAGGATGTGTTTCAGCTTCCTAATATACATTTTTGTTAAAATGCAAAATCAGTTGTTCAAAGTGGCTTCACTATAGTGTCTCACACATGCATATATCATACTTTTAGTCAGATTGATCGCATATGTATAAGACACTGTATATGTTCATGTATGTTTATTTTGGGTCTAGTATCCACAGATGAGGGGAGAACCTAGTTTACTTTTCTTAGTATGGAGGTTATCCGTTTCCCTGTAAGTGATATAATTTCATTCTTCTTTATGGCCGAATAATACTCCATTCTTTCTCTGTGTGTGTATGTGTGTCTGCATGTGTGTGCCCGTGTATCTGTGTATATTTGTGTGTGCATCACATTTTCTTGACCCATTCATCAGTTATAGGGAACCTGAGTCATTTCCATAAGCTTGGCTATTGTGACTAGTGCTTTAGAGAACATGGGCATGCAGGTGCTTCTATTATCTCATTCCTTCTTGTAATTGCCCAGGAGTGATATTGCTGTATTGTAGGGTAGTTTCTTTTTTTTTCAGTGCTGGGCCTGGGTTTGAATGCATGGCCTGGGCACTGTCCTTGAGCTTTTTTTTTTTTTGGTTAAAGATTAGCACTCTGATACTTGAGCTACAGCTCCACTTCTACTTTTTGGCAATCAATTGGAGATCAGAGTCTCAACAGACTTTCTGCCTGGGCTGGCTTTGAACCATAATCCGTAGAGCTTAGTCTTCTGATTAGCTAGGAATACAGGCATGAGCTACCAGTGCCCAGCTTCTTTTAGTTTTTTCTTTTTAAATATATTTTTATTTTCTTTAGGTAGTTTTACAAAAGAGTTGCCATTCAACAGAGCAGTTTATGAATACAGTGCTTCTTGATCAATGTCACCCCTTTTAACATTCTTATACATGCTTCCAACCTCAATCTTCATTTGCTTTTCTTAATTTTTAGGTTGTGTTGAATTTTTCTGCCATTTAACAAAGCAGTTTATGTGTACAATGCATCTTGATCTGTGTCATCCCTTCAACATCTTCACCTCCCTTCTGCCCATCCTTTCCCTTATTTTCCTTAGTTCTGGGGCATATACAATGCATTAGTGCCTTAATTCTACTCATTTCCCTCATTCATTCTTCTACTTCTCTCCTCTTGATCCCCTCCTACCTCACAAGTACCTATTTCCTAGTACTCATTTTGTTTGGCTTGGATTCAGTCTTTCTAAAGAATTATACTATTTGTGTTCTCCATAGGTTCTACTACACTTTATTTATAACTGCTTGGACGCCACCTTGTGTACTTTCTTGTACACACATTCTAGTGTATAGGCACATTCTAGTTCCCATTAATGAGGGAAACTGCTTCTTTGGGTGTGGTTTACTTCATTTATAATCCTGTCCAAGTCTTGCATTTCCTTATGAATGGTTCAATGCCATTCTTTCTGATGTATGAGTAGAATTCCATTGTATACATACATCATATTTTTTTGATCCATTCATCCATTGAGGGGCATCTGGACTGATTCCATATCTTGGCTATGGTAAATAAAGCTGCAATAAACATGGTTGTGGTGGCTTTAGTATATCCTTGTTTGTGCTCTCAAAGAAACAATAACCCAATTAACAAATGGGCTAATGGCTTACAGATTTCTCAGAAGAAGTAAATATGGCCACTAGATAATGTTCATAAAGGAAATGCAAATCAAGATAACACTGTGATTCCATCTCATCCCAGTTAGAATGGTCATTATCAAGAAAACTAACAATAACATGTGATGGTGGGGATGTGGCCAAAAAGGAACTCTATTACACTGTTGGTGGTAATGTAAATTTATTCCGCTCTGGAAAGCACTATTGACAGTGGTCAGAAACTACATAGAATTACCATGTGACCCAGCAATTCTACTTCTGGGCATTTTTCCAATAGAGCACAAACAAGGATACTTCTTTTATTTTTTAAGAAACCTCTATACTGTTTTCCATAGTGGTTGCACGAATTTACATTCCCACCAGCAGAGTATAAAAGTTATTATTTTATTATTATTTATTATTTTTTTGTTATTGTTTGATGATGGCCATTCTTACTAGGGTGAGATGGAATCTTAGTGTCATTTTGATTTGCATTTCCTTTATGGTCCTGGATGTTGAGTGTGTCTTTGTATATTTATTGTTCATTTGTACTTCTTTTTAGAAGTATCTTTTCAGTTCATTTTCCCCTTTATTACTTGGATTATTGATTCTTTCACATTTTACAGTAAGATTTTTTCCATTTCCTGGAAGCATTAGGATACTTGATCCACTTTGATATATTCTTTGATCCACTTTCTTTTCTCCAGTGTACATTTGGGGTATAGGTGTGTGGATTCCTTTCTGGCCCTTCTAATTTATTCCATTGATCCTTAAGTTCTTTTTCTTTCCTCTTGCCTATACTTTGATGTTTTTGTTATGGCTCTGGGGTGGTAATGGTCTTATTTTTCTCCTTTTATTCCTTTTCTTTTTGTGAGCTGGATATTGAATTCAGGGCATTGCATTTGCTAAGTACATTGCATTTGCTAACAATTTGAGCCATAGTCATTTTATTTTTATTTTTCAGATAGATACTTATGCACTTTTGCCTGGGCCAGGACTTGAACTGTGATCCTTCTATCCCTGCCTCCCAAATAGCTGGAATTACAAGCATATACCAACAGGCAATACTACTTCATTAGTTCCCTTTGTGTCTTTCTGGTTTGTGTTCCCAGGCTTTTTGTTTCTCTGAGAGGGATTATGTATATTGATAAGGGTTCTTCTTTCTCTGACTAGAATACTTTTTGTTCATGCTCATGTTTTTTGCTCTCTATGTCTTTAATGATCTTCCAGATCATTTTTGAGTTGAATAGGTTTCCAATCACTTAACTCTTTGGTCTCTCTTTCCCTCAATTTTTCCCTTTCTTTTTTTTCTGTGGATCTTTAACTGGCCATATTGTGAAAGGAAGTGACTCATATTGGCTTAATTGTAAAGCAAAAAAGTGATTTTTTGGATCATATGCTAGAAAAGTCAGAGTTGGCTTCATCATCACTGGGACTCATCCTCTTCTTATTTTTAATTCATCTGTCCTCAGTTTTAATCTCACACTCTCAGTGGAAACAAATCTAGGTAAGTATCTACCTGTAACTTAGCTAGCATTTTTGGACTTCTGTGCCTACCCCACCCTCCACCCAAATAATTTGATCAAAACTTCTATCTTCCCTCAGAACCAATACCTTTTAGTAGGAGGTTGGGAGGTCTTGATGGGTTTATGTTTATGTTGCCTATCCTTTCTGCACCCCAGGAGGTGTGTGGGAAGGTAAGAGTATTGTTACCAGAGATACATGAACAGATTCTGGGAGTTAAGGCTGCAAATCTCTATCTAAAATGTTTGCTTTTGCATTGGTGTTCTAATCCTTGTTTAAATAGGATGATAGACTAGACTATATTTAACTTTTATTCTTTAAAATTTGGAAAAGATGAGAAGCAAAATTTAGCAAATACAAAATAAATTTCTCTTTTTATGTAATCTTTGACTTCTTTCCATCTGTTTTTCCCCCTGCTTTCTTGTTGGTAAGATTGTCTGATCAAATACAGAATGTCCAGTACAGTTTGAATCCCAGATAAATAATATTTTTAATATAAAGGTGACCTGAATATATTATTATATATACTAAAAATCCATTAACTTGAAATTCAAATTTAAATGATGACCTATATTTTTATTTTTTTATCTGCTAAATCTTGCCTTCTATTTACTGAGGACCTATGTTTTTCCTTTAAAATTATCTTTAAATAGTTGTACAAAGGGGTTTCAATTCAACATGTCAGTTTATGAGTACAATGTATCTTAATCATTGTCACCCCTTCTATCATTTCACTTTCTTAGGATCTAATTTTTGAATTCCCCCCCTTTCACCAGCAGTATGAAAAGGCTAACCATTACTGTGTTTCTAGAACTCAAAGATCAGATGGAAATACAGGTCAGATTACAAAGTTAAGAATTGAGGGATAGATCATCTCCTCTTTGTTACCCTACCTCTTGACTTTTTAATTATTCTATGTTATCTCCCAGTATTCCATACGTTTATAAACAAGGTATAATATTAATATTGTGAAAATTTGAGTCAGAGTTTTACCTGACAAGTATTTGTGCCAAACTCAGGCATTGTGCTTTCAGACACAATCATCGTTTTTCTGTCTCTGGGGCAGAGGTTCTGTGTTCTCCCTAGGAGGGTTTTAACCTCTAGAAGTTTATGAAGTCAATGCGTGTGTTGATGTTCATTTGTTGTTAAGTAACTTGCCCAAACTAATTAGGTACTTGCTTAGAGTAAGTAAAAATGTTTATTTTTAAGAGCTTTAAGCTTTTTAGTATACAGAAATATTGGCTGTAATCTATGTTGAGTTGAAGTTGGGAGGAAGAGAGAAATCATGTGAACTTCTTTTAGAATGTGTTTTATTTTTATTTTTGAAAGAAATTCCTCCTGATTTGATCTGTGACATTAATCAAGATTGTGCCAACACCTTCATTAAGTTCTTACTGGAAAACCAGAAATGGCCTGAAGTACTTTTGCTGCTGACTCGAAAAGTGAGTGGGGAGCCACCACTTGGAGATTGCCTCATCAAAGACTGCAACCTTTCAGACTTGGACATTTGCACAGTCATCCCCCACCTCAGTGTCTGGGACCAACGGAAGACACAGCTGCTAGGTTGTCTGATAGACAGTGGAGGTAAGATGGCCTGGATAAAGAGCATTAAGGAGTTGTCTCTGAGTTGTCTAGGGTACAATTTGGTTTTCCCTTGCTTTTAGAAACATTATGAAATTCTGCCTCATTGTCTCCCTTGTATCTTCTTGTTTTGAAACAGTGATGGAGCAACGCCTCATAATGTCCTGTAGAAACCCTACATTTTTTCCTGAATTCCATTAACCCTTGTGTCTTTCCCTCTTATGTAGGAAACAAGTTATGTGGAGGGTCCTTGGCTTTGATTCAACCCATAGTGGTCAAATCCATCTGGCTTCTAACTAGACTTTTCCCTGTCTTGGATATATTGTGTGGCTCTTCGTAATTCTGTGCCATTCTTTTCTAATCAATAGCTTAGAATTTGAAGCCTGATTTTAGAGAAATATCTAATTAGTTGCTGAGTAGAAACATCTGCTGCTTTAATCAGAACAATCACTAATGGCCAGGTATATATCTAGAGTATATAGATACCTTGGTAGATTGAATTTCATTTTTAAAATAACTTAAAAACACAAGCCTCCTGCTACACTCACTCTCAGCATCCCTACTCATCAAACTACTACTTAATGTATGCCCTTGGCCATGCTGTTCATGCCTTCACCTCACTTATGAAACTAGAATATAATAATTTGTCTTTCTTAGGGCTGAATATTAAATGAGTTAATGTTTCATAGGATCTTAGGAGAGTACCTTAGCTGTGTGTTTTTTACTTACTTTTTCTATGTAAAGAACTGTAGCATATTGGGTTTCAACCTTTAAAGTGCCACCACAGTGTAAAGCCTCTACCCACAGTATAAATAAAGCCTTTATATAGGAGGTAGATGGAGTGCGTTATACAATTTATTTTTTTCATGTTCCTTCTTTACATGCAGAGCTACTTTCTTTGCTTCAAAACTATTGCCATTGAATATATAGTTTGTTTTTTTGACTCAGCCAGCACTTACCAAGCATCTCCTAGGATCAAATGCTAGGAACCAGGTCCCCAAAGGCACACAGCTGCTTTAGGAATACAGGAAGAGTTGCAGAACTACTGGGTTGTACTGCCTTCAAGTGGAGGCTAGGGAGGCTGTAGTGCAGAGGGATGTGTAGATTGAGTTCAAAGGAAGATTGTGTAGGGGGTTGAGAGGTATCAAGGAAGATGACTATGAAGGGTAGAAGCTTAGTAGAAGCAGAGGATTAGCAAGTATGCTCAAGTGCTGATTACTGACTATGCTAAGAATGGTGTTAGGAACCATTAGAGTGTTCTTTTTTGTGTGCTCTGTCCTTTCCCCAGTGAAGCAGTTCATGGTATGAACTAGAGTCCTGTAGTGGGATAAGAAGATAGGACAGGAAAGGTGAGAGTGACATGGCCCATGTATCCCAAGAACACTGGGAAGGATGCTTCCCAAAAATGGTGGTAGTAGAAGCAGTGGTAGTAGTAGTCAAGTCAGCAACTTAATGGCAGGAGCAACCTCCTCACCTCAATGAGACAGGCTCTCTTCCCAGGGACAGATCTCATGGTACCATCTCTTCTGCCTTTTTAGCCCTGCCAGAGGGCCTCCAGGAGAACCAGGGGAGGCCACTTCTCATGTGCCTGAGACACAAGGACTTTGAGTTGGCTTTTCTTCTTTTGACCAAGGGTGCAGACCCTCGTGGTATTTCTCTCACAGAAGGTGATACTCCTTTACATGCTGCACTCCACATCTTTCTAGATATCAATGGTAAGCTCTATTCTATATGCAGTCTTTTTTCTTGAGGCAGAAGCTGGATATTAGAACTGATGCTTTGCTTTTTGGTCTTGCCATTTGGGAAAAAGTTATATGAAAAAAGACTATTTCTTGTTCATACCTGCCCATATCTTCTAGCCTCTCTCTCATAACATGAAGTTGGGGGGAAGTGATCAATATGGTGAACAATAAGTAGATACAATGAGGATTTTTAAATTCCAAAGTTGCTTGTCTGTTGCTGATAAATAGTTCCATTTATTTACATCATTTTCAAGAATCCTTACAAAAAGGATCTTGCTCTAGAATATCATAAAGTTAGTTCAGGAGGTACTATCACATTTGGGCTGGGTAATATTTTTTAAGGAGCTTACTTGTGCAAACCAGGCTGTTCAGAAGCATCCCTGCCCTGTACCTATTGGCTGCCAACTTTCCTGATTGTGACAGTTAGGCTGTCTCCAGACATGGTCAGAAGTTCCATGGGTCAAGTCACTTTGGTTGAGAGCATTGGGTTATTTAATGGGTATCAAATCCTTGGAGGATGTCAGTGTTATAAGTTGACCTCTCTCAAACCCAGTCTTCTGTCTCCTGAGAAGAATGACTCTGCATTCACAGTATTTTTTTTTATCTTTCAGCTGACATTGGCTTTAACTTCCTCAGTCACCTGTTGGACTTATTTTGGTCTAACCCTGCGGAATTTTACTACCTGAACCCGAATATCCAGGATAGCAATGGGAACACACTGATGCACCTCCTCTTCCAGAAAGGCATGCTGAAGCGTACAAAGAAGCTGGTCGACTTGCTGGTGAAGTTTGACATCAACTTTAACCTGAAGAATAAAGAAGGCAAAGATGCTCGGTACCGGATTAAGAAGAATGATGCCCTGCTTTTGGCCTGGAACAAAGCACTAACAGAAAGCAAGCGGAAGAGCCGGCAAGATTCTGCTGCCCACTTTGGGAAGCTCTCGAAGCCTTCTGCCCCTTGTCATATGTCTCAGCTCAAGTCCCAGGGTTCCTTCAAGTCACTACCATGTGACATCTCTGCTAGAACCCTCTCTGCAGGAGCCACAGTTTCTAATATCTGGGAAATTCTCCCTGATACCCAGGTGGGCAGGCAGGAACCTGAAGCCACCAGGCCCCTCTCCCTGAGAGATCGCCTTGTGCAAGACATCACAGTTTTGATTCAGCAGGTTGAATTGGATATGTCTCCCTCAGAGGACTGCCCTCAGCACTCTGAGCCTCTTGAGGTAGGAACTGGCATGAAAGGAAAGAAAGATAAACTCCAGCAAACTTCGAATGTGGGAAGTTCTGATTGTAGTAGGAACAATTCTGCTGTCCCAGAGGCCAAGGAAGGAGCTATTCAGGTAGGGTCTGGGGCCTCACAGCTTGTTCCTAATGGTAACAGAGGGAGGGAGGGCAGTGATGACCAGGACAACCAGAGCATGCAAGACATTGAGGATTGCCTGCAGGACTTTGATAACATGACCTGGGAGATTGAATGCACTTCAGAAATGTTAAAAAAGCTGTCCAGTAAGATGATGACCAAGGTCTTAAAAAAGAAAGTAATCTTTACCATCCAGCAGCTGGGTAATGGTGAGTGGACCCAGAGCTTGCAGAAACGACTGAAGCACTCTAAAGGAGACATCCAGCTCTTTGAAGCAAAGCTGGATAGAGGAGCCCGGATGCTGTGGGAGCTTGCCATTGACTTTTCTCCTAGATGTAGTGAGAACCCAGAGAAGGTTGTTGCTACAGATCGGAAAACATGCTCCATGGAGAAGTCAGGGAGAGTCTACACAGAAATCATCCGGATCTGGGACATTGTCTTAGATCATTGCAAGCTTTCAGATTCCATCATGGCCATCTGTAGTGCCTACAACCGAGGTTTGTCCTGTGTCTTGCGTAAGAAGCTAAAGGGTATCAACAAAGGCCAAGTGTCAGCAAACATGAAAATCCAAAAGCGAATACCTCGCTGCTATGTGGAGGACACAGAGGCAGAGAAGAAGAGGCAGTATGTGGATCCTGAGTATTTTCCACCGGCTAGTGCTGTGGAGACAGAGTATAACATCATGAAGTTCCACAACTTCAGCACCAACATGGCCTTCAACATCCTCAATGATATGACAGCAACCATGGAGTACCCCTTCCGAGTGGGCGAACTTGAATATGAAGTGATCAACCTCAACCCCAGGCCACTGGAGCCCATCATCCTCATTGGGAGGAGTGGCACTGGGAAGACAACCTGCTGTTTGTACAGGTTATGGAAGAAATTTCACACTTACTGGGAAAAAGCTGATCAGGCAGGAAGCCCATTGCTGGCCAAACAGGTCTTGCCAAAGAGAAAATTAGAAGAGGATGCTGGAAAGGAGGACCCATGTAAGGAAGAAAATGAAGAAGAGGAATGTTTTTTCAAATCGGAAACAGTAGAAAGCATAGATGAGGAGCAAGAGAGTGAGTCTTGTGTAGCAGGAGCTGGAGTGGAGCTTGCAGAAGGTGGCCAACTGGAAGAAGAGTATGTACCAGAACATCCCCAACAGCTGGAGCATCTACACCAGATATTTGTAACCAAGAACCATGTCCTATGCCAGGAAGTACAAAGAAGTTTTATTGAGCTTTCCAAGTCTACCAAGGCCACTAGTCACTACAAACCACTGGATTCCAGTGTCCACAAACTTCAGGATCTGAAGGATGAGAACTTTCCTCTGTTTGTTACTTCAAAACAGCTCCTTCTTTTGCTTGATGCCTCTCTACCCAAACCATTTTTTATGAGAAATGAAGATGGCAGTTTGAAGAGAAGCATATTGGGATGGTCCACACAGGAAGAGTTGAATATCCCCATTTGGCAAGAAGATGAAGAGGAGGCTGAGGCAGATGGGGACAATAGTGAGGAGGATAAATCTGCAGAAGCACGTTCAGGTGACAGTGATCCTCGGATATATGTGACATTTGAAGTGTTCACTAATGAGATATGGCCCAAAATGGTCAAAGGAAAAACTTCCTACAATCCTGCATTGATTTGGAAAGAAATAAAATCTTTTCTGAAGGGTTCTTTTGAAGCTCTTAGCTCCCCTGATGGGAGACTCACTGAAGAAGCATATAAAAAATTAGGGAGGAAACGATCCCCCAATTTCAAGGAAGACCGGAGTGAGATCTACAGTCTCTTCTGTCTTTATCAGCAGATCAGATCCCAGAAAGGGTATTTTGATGAAGAGGATGTTCTGTATAATTTGTCCCAGAGGCTGTCAAAGCTCAAGTTACTCCCTTGGTCCATCCATGAACTCTATGGTGATGAGGTTCAGGACTTCACCCAAGCTGAGCTGGCCCTGCTGATGAAATGCATTAATGACCCAAATGCCATGTTCCTTACTGGAGATACAGCCCAGAGCATAATGAAGGGTGTGGCCTTCCGTTTTAGTGATCTTCGATCTCTGTTCCACTATGCCAGCAGAAATACGGTAGATAAACAGTGTGCTGTTCGGAAACCCAAGAGAATCTACCAGCTGTACCAGAATTACAGGTCTCATTCTGGTAAGTCTAGGCCTTTGGATCTAATGCTGGTGAGGTGCTTTGGTATTGACCTTGAGCTGCTTTTGAAGCTGAGGGCTAGCTCTTGTTATATTTTTGCAGCTGAAGTATGAGACATGTTTTGGAGTTGCTAGTATATGTTTGTGAACAAGAGATCTTACAGCTTCTGTAAGATTTGTAATTTAATCATGTAAGATGTGGTTAGGCAGAAGTCGATCTTTAAATAGTCATATCTTAATGGGTTTCACATGACATGAAAACATTTCAGAGGAACATTTAAATCACTTTCAAACTTACTTAATCTATGTAAAATAATATGCCAGTTATAGGTCATTAATTCTTAAAGCAGCTGTTCTCCAAAAGAGAACCAAAAAAGGTGATAGTAGGAGATAGCTCACACTCCAGTGTTTTTAGTGTTTTTCTCAGTTATGCCTTTTCGCTGTGCCAGGCATGATGCTAATCAGTTCACAAACAATAATGACACTTAGTCTTCACAACACTACACGGTAGACAATGTACCAGTTGTAGATAGGAGGAAACTGAAGCACAAAAGGTTTAAGTAATAGGACACCAATACCGGAATATTTCCTTGATGGTTTTATAGATGCTCACAAATTCTCATCCTATATCCTACAACTAAATAATCAAGAGTATTACTTTAAGGTCATGCCATATGTATCTTTCTCCAACTGTGGGGTTTTGGTGCAGCGAGGGTTGGGTCGGGGGGAGCAGAGGAGGTGCTGAGGCTTTGGTATGTTAGGTAAGTGCTCTATTACTGTGCTACACTCATACCCTTTACTTTTGGAGAAGTGTCTCAAAAAAGTCCTTGGCTAACTGTAGACTCTGAATCTTTCTGCCTTTGTCACTGGAAGGTTGGAATTACAGGAATGCACTACCATGTTAATACAACTGTATTTTTTGCCAGATGTTGTTATTGAAACTTCTACAGGTTGATAACATGGTGTTCTAGTTCATACATCTCTACTCTGGTTAGCATTACATTTTATGACTGTACCATTACATTTTATGACTATTCTCTATCCATTTTCCAGTTGTGGATATTAGGTTGCTATCAAATTCTTAGTGTGACATGATTCTGGACTGTAACTTCTTAAGCAAATCTCTTTGAATCTATAGTGTATTCCCAGATTTGTTCATTCCTGTTTTACTCCTAGTGAGTGTAAAATGACATCTGTCAGTGATTTTAGTTTTTGCTTCCTTGAGATAAGGTCTCATAATGTGTTTGTTTACTGGACCTGTATTCTTCTGTAAATTGCTTGTTCTTATTCTTTGCTTACTTTTCTAATGGGTTCTTTTCTTATTGATTTATAAGATTATTTACAAATACTCTTTTAAAATCCTTTGCTGATTTTATTTATTGTAGCTTCTCACATTTATTTCCTTCTGATCTTTTTAAAATGTGTATTATACCTGGATATTACATAATATTTATTGATATATAATGAATAAATATTGTTTAGTAGATATTTCCCCTATATGTTAGTTTCTTTTTTTTTTTTGTCAGATGTGGGGCTTGAACTCAGGGCCTGAGTTCTGTTTCTGAGCTCTTCCACTCAAGGCTAGTGCCTTACCACTTTGAGCCACAGTACCACTTCCAGCTTTTTCTGTGTAGTTTATTGGAGATAAGAGTCTCATGGACTTTACTGCCTGGGCTGGCTTTGAACTGTGATCCTCAGATATCAGCCTCTCCTGAGTAACTAGGATTATAGGTATGAGCCACTGGAGACCAGCTTTTAGTGTTTTTTTTTAAGACAGAAATTCTTTTTTTTTAATTTAATATGATTTTATTTGTGAACATACTGTACAGAGGGGTTACAATTACATGGGCAGGATAATGCGTACATTTCTTACCAAGCATTGCAGCCTCTTCCTTTGGTT